TGGAGTGAATTTCGTTTCATTTGAGTCGCTGGTTTCTGTGGAATGAATTCTTGAACTTTGAACATTTTTGAGACGGGTTTTCATTCTTGCATCATCTTCTTCTGAGCTGCGTTGCGAAAGAATCACCTGCGATATTAAAATATCGTTTGTAGCCGGCAATAAAGGAAGCTTCGTTGTAGATCTGGAGTGAATTTGGTTTCATTTGAGTCGCTGGTTTCTTTGGAATGAATTCTTGAACTTTGAACATTTTTGAGGCAGGTTTTCATTCTTGCACCATCTTTTTCTGAGCTGCGTTGCCGAACAACCTCCTGCGATATTAAAATATCGTTTGTAGCCGGCAATAAAGGAAGCTTTGTTGTAGATCTGGAGTGAATTTGGTTCCATTTGAGACTCTGGTTTCTTTGGAATTAATTCTTGAACTTTGAACATTTTTGAGGCGGGTTTTCATTCTTGCACCATCTTCTTCTGGGCTGCGTTGCCGAACAACCGCCTGCGATATTAAAATATCGGTTGTAGCCGGCAATAAAGGAACCTTCATTGTAGATCTGGTTCAATATACCATCAGCAGAGTTTTTTCTCAAATTTACTGCTGAGTGCTCATGGCAAACGTAAAAAATCACTTAAAACCCAGCTGTTGTTTATGCAATTATAATTGCTGTTACAACGTGAACTGTCGGCTGAGCCTGCCATTAGAAAGACATTAGAAGGCAAGTAGATTCATTTTGGTCGAGTGAAACTACCGGTTTCATATGCATGAGGTGCGCGAGATGCTTAATGTTCATGCTCTAGAAGAAAGTGGTACTAATTCGGCCCATCCAGCCAGCACCTGTCCTTAGGCGCGAGGCAACTGAGGGTTTTTCCGTAGCTTAGTTAAGCTACCATTGAACCTGCGGGTTCAACCATTGCGAAGCCCACTAAAGTGTCACTCTCTTCTAACCCAGAAGTCCACTTTGAACTTGGCGCAAAACATTTAATAATAGAAGATTGTTTTTAATGGCTCTGTTCACAATGGGAAAATGTAAATTGACACTTTATAGCGCGCGATCGCGGCCCAATTGACGGAATTCCAATTATTTCATTAAAAGTTTCTCTTCTAATTTCCAGCCTTTGGATTTTTTCAACAGTTCTGGTAACCAAGTGGTGTAAACCAAGTCACGCAGTTCTATTATTGTCTACATCCTGTTGACACTTTGCTTATGAGTACAGTGAGTTCGTAGCTGAATGGCAATTCGCTGTAAAGACAAAATCACTTTTTCGAAGTCGAATGAGTAAATCGATCGGAAAAAATGATGCGAAATCATTGAACGCGGAAGGAACCGCGTGATTGCGCTTCTCAGCCTAATGGCCATTCGTAACTTCTTCTTCAGCTGATTATCTCGATGCAATCTAATAAAGCTTAATTGCGGATTTCATCAAAACTGAAGCATGCACATCACAATTTAGTTATATGGAGAATTCCATTATTACTATTAGATAATCCGGGTGGAACAATGATGAGAACCGCGCACTTTTCCAAGGAAGTTGTCACTTCGGGTGCAGTCGAGCCAAAGAACTGCGCCGGAAAAGTGCCGGATTAACAATGAACACGATTTTCCATCGGTTTAATTAAGCAATAAGGAAGTGCACACTCGATTTGATTTACAAGCGTGACGCTATTTTTGCAGATGAACAGCAAAAATGCGAAACCACTAAATCGGCTTCCAAGTTAATTTCCAATTGCTTTTTCCCCAGCAAGCAGCCGAGTAACGCCATTTGATTGATTATTAGAGCACGATGGATTTTGTTGTTAAGCAATCATCGAACGTTCGATGAAATCATTCTCTGTTATTTATGTGGTCGCGTCCGAAAACGGAACACTTACCAATTAGTCGGCGATTTTCAGATTCATTCAGGCGAAGTTTCTCTTGGTTTTCGGATATTTTTCGGCTGCTCAGCTTCTTCAATCTTGCTGAACTCCTATAGACTCTTGTCGAACTGGAGCGCGGGGTTTACATTTTATCACAAATTCCTAACCTCTAAAGCGATGGGAGCAAAAGTTTCTTACAACCGCCCATATTCTGCAAACGGTTCGGAATATCCAATCAGCCAAGAGAACCTTTTCGATAGCTCGTCTCCTGGACTGTTTTTCACTAAGAACAATTTAGATAAGGCGTTTTGGGATCTATCTTTTCCTCCTCAGGCGTCTAGCGAGGTAGTTGACCTCCCAAAAAGACTCATTTTTGAGCTTGTTGAGCGTTTTCAATGATATCTCGCAATCGGATGAAAATATCGGAATAATCATTGGAATCATTTCGATAGAGCATTTCGAGCACTACGTTCCTCTAAACAGTTTTTATGCGAAGGTCGCCATCGGTTCAAGGTTGGTAGCAAAAAGTCCAGTTTTCCAGTGAAGCAAGAAACATTCAAGGCATATTGGGTCGAAGAAGAAGCTCCATTATGACCTTCCTCCACTTGCGTCACCACCAAGAATGAACAGCAAATCGCACGGGTTTTATCGTTTTTCAATAGGTATAAACAAAATGTTGGTAAACCGATTCCGCCTGGTTCATCCTTGGTATTCAGGTTTCTTCGGTTTGGCAATGACCTTTGCTATTCTGAAATCTTCATGCCTAAGCCTGCTTGGCCGTCGTCATTTTTAATCGGTTTCTTCTGTTCGCCTTAAGCCTGTGTCCCATGCATCCGTTTATACGATGGTACGATGATACGAAAGTGTTTCTATTGGTTGGAGATCTGTCAATTCGTCCTCCGTTCGTAAGACGG